GATACCGTAACCTTGAGAAAAGATACATCCTGGCAGAACTGCTCCAACAAGGCTGGTAAGAAATAACAGCTTGGGTGGATAATGAAGTTGGGAAACATCCAAGGAGAATAAGTTGTCCTCAGAAGACTCAGGACCATAAAAGGGAAAAAGGAATAGAGGACTCACTTCCCAAATGACCACTGATGACCATCCGAGACCCCCACTCATGATTAGTGTAGTTTTGCAAAGCCAACATTATGTATATGTAACAGGTGAAAAAGTGGAGACTTCTTTAAAAATGTATGAATATTCCTGTCTTTTGTTTTAGTGTGTGCATGTTAGGAGGAATGATCTCCCATGCACTCAGCACTGACTAAAGAAATGCCTGCTTCTTAATGCTACATTGGTGTTAAGAGGCTTACTCCCAATTTTGGTGACAATTTTAACTTTCAATAGAATGGAAACATTTTTATTTTTCATATAGTAAAAAACATGCTTTGAAACATCATTTTATATAAAGCAGAGACATTATCTTATAAAAATAAGGCTTGAAATGATGATCATTTATTATATTTATGTGGTTTTTCAACTACTACTGACAATAATTCTCTGAAAGACTTATTCATTGAAGCATGATCAACTACTATTATTTACACAATAATACAAATTTTTTTTTATTCAGTAATAAATGATTAAGTATTTTCTAAGAATAAAACCTATAGAAATGGAATCTTGCATCATCACTTAATTTTATACATGCAGTTCTGAATGGATCATGAAAAGCTAATTAATGATGGCAAATTAATGCCTGCACAATAAACATTGAAGAGGCTGTCTAGTTTATAGAAAGGCATACTTATTCAATTGAAAAGTTGTCTTTCTTCGTAAGTCATCACCAGCTCAGAAAATTACAGAAACTACAATACGTATTGCAGCTGAGCAGGAGGAAATGCAGGAGAAAAACACATTGTGCCAAGGAGAACAAGCTACTTCGGAACAGAATCAAAGCAGCCATTCCACTGAGCACTGACTTGTTTGGAGCCAGTCAAAAGCAGGCACAGACAAGTATTTAGCTCCTGTCTTCCACTGGATTTGGGGAGAGAAATCGAGCAGGCAGGTTCTTCCCTCTCCTTAGGAAGGAGACCTGCTCAGTTTTGGAGCTAAACTATCATTCTCCTTCTCCCAGAAGTCTTGAATCACTACTGACACACTAAGCTGAACAGCATCTCTGCTAAACTGAAAAGGATCACTTTTCATCCTTTTTGTGGTAGCTGAACTATTGCCCCAGGAAGACATGGAAGATTCACAGGAAAGGAAAGACTAACTTAAGTATCCAGTATAGTATTTAAGAATTGTATTCATGATTATGAAAGACTTCTGGCACCTCTTTCCAAAGTTCTTTTCATTAGTAGTTACCAGACTAATGAGGAAAAAAAGTTCTAGGAGCAGAGTAGATTAGGTAAACTAGATTAGTAACAGGGAAGCAAGTGTTTTCCTAGTAATTTATATTGTTTATAATTTATATAAACGGTACCTATCTAATGAAAACAATAGCAATCTTGAATTAACATCCACAGATCCAGGATTTCATAGCATGAAGCTAAACCAGTCACTTTTGTGATGGCTAGAAAAATAAGTCAAAAAGAAGCAGTAGTAGTATGACTAAAAATAGAAGAACTGGATCATAGAACATGATCATCTTGCCAAACAACACATCTTCTTTCATTCAGAATATGGGAGACTTGTAGAACATTCACTGAAAGGAAAACTTGACTAAGGAATTTACCTTGAATGCAGTTAGTCCATATCTTTTCACACATAGTGCATATATTGAAAATAAGTAATTTGAATTGAGTGCCAACTTTATGCTACATTTGGCAGATGCACAGTTGAAGACTACTGCTGGTAACTTGTGAAAAACTGACATTGGGAAGGTCTATTGACTGATCACTTTTAAGATTCTAACTTTTATCATAGCTCTCTCCCAATAATGCATCTTCAAATTTGTGTAATCACAGAATGGTTAGGGTTAGAAGGGACCTTTAAAGATCATCTATTCCAACCCTCCTGCAACAAGCAGGGACATCTCCAAATAGATCAGTTTGCTCAAAGCCCCAACTAACTTGACCTTAAACACTTCCAATGATGGGGCATTCACAACTTCTTTGGGCAAACTGCTCCAGGGTCTCACCACCCTCATTGTAAAAGATTTTTTTCTTGTATTCAATCTAAACCTACACTAATTCAGTTTAAAATAATTTTCCCTTGTTCTGTCACTATAGGCCTGGCAAAAAAGTCTCTCTCCATCTTTCTCGTAATTACTCTTTAAATACTGAAAAGCTGCAATAAGATCTCCTCAGAGCCTTCTCTTCTCCAGGCTGAACAACCCCAGCTCTCTCACCCTTTCTTCATAGCAGAGGTGTTCTATCTCTCTGATCATCTTTGTGGCCCTCCTCTGGACCCACTCCAATGGGTTCATGTTCATCTTATGTTGGGGACCCCAGAGCTGGACACAGTACTCCAGGTGAGGTCTCATGAGAGCAGAGTTGAGGGGGAGAGTCACCTCCCTTAATCTGCTGGCCACATTTCTCTTGATGCAGCCCAGGATACAGCTGGCTTTCTGGGCTGTGAGTGCGTGTTGCCAGCTCATGTTTAATTTTTCATACACCATGATCCCCAAGTCCTCCACAGGGCTGCTCTCAATCTATCCATCCCCTTGTCTGTATTGATTGATACTGGGTGTTGCTCTGACACAGGTGCAGGACCTTGCATTTGGCCTTGTTGAACCTCATGAGGTTCACATTCAATTATTTTAAAAAATAAATGTTCTTAATGTATATGTAAAAACAGATTATCTGCTGCACTGGCCCCACTCTTGAAAGGCTAAATCAAATAGCAATTTCAGAAAGCCAATACAGATTTAGGTAGAATTTTAAAATATAAAGGCTAAGTATAGTTAGTACAGCTACAAATGAAAAATAGCATTAAAAATAATTTTAATAAAACTGCTGAGTAAATTTTAGTTTCACATTAATAGCAAGTCAAACATACATGGTACTAAACTACTAAAAAATGTAAGGATTCTGAAAAAACATTTAACACAAGAAATAAAATACTGCAGAACAATAGCATGAAGCAAAAGAATTTTGGTTTGGTGCAATCTAGATAATAGAAACTACTTCTAATCATATAATTACTGATCATTCTAAAGTAATACTAATCAAAGCCCATGAACTTTTAAACAAAATAAAAATAATTTTGTTACTTTCTCTCTAGTGAATTTTCTTACCTCTTTTCTACCTAAGAATGACTTTCAGTTCACAAAGTTTCTGAGAAAAAAGAGTAAGTTTATTGTTCTTTCAAAAAATTACTGTAGTTTTTAGATAGTACTATATCTTCCTACTATGAATTAAAGTGTTCCATTCTAATCTACACGCTCTCAACATTAGATTTATGTATGATTAACCTACCTTACCTGATCTAAAAAGGAGAAAACAAGGGCTTCCAAATTCCTTGTACAGACCATGCAATAACACAGCCGCACTTTCAGTGCTCAGATAAGGAGGGGCTGAAACTCCAGTGGGGTTCTGAGTCCTGAACACCTAAGAGCTTGCTTACAAAGCACTAGACAGTTTGACTTTTCCCTGCTAGCCTGTCATTCTCTTGTTCAGTGTATTTGCAGCACAGCACCAAGAGCGTTTAACCCACTAGTGTGCAACAGGGTCAAAGTATCCAGCAAACAACATGCTCTATGCTTCTGGGGCAGACAGGGTTTCTAGACAAAATCTATCTCAGCCCATCTCCCAGGGTGCCTGGAAATACTGGATAAATGCTCAAACTTCTCAAACAGGAAACAGAAAAACTTTATGTATGCTAATTCTACTAAAATGCAGTTTAGCCTTTGGTAAAACACATTTCAAAACTTCATAGGCTACTTTCCTCAAGTAAGCATTTGTCAATTAACCTGCATTAGCAACTCAAAAAAATCTCCCCCCAGAAGTGCCTCCATCATTACTGCAAAAATCACTAAACTTGTTTCTTGTCCTTCAGAAATTTTCATGGCATTTAACTATCAGATTTAGAAGAATTAACTCATAAATATAGTAGGCACGTATAATGGTGCTAAATATATATAGTATAGTGGTGCTAAATATGAAATGGGTTCATTATGTAAGTGAAGTGGCACACAGTTCACCTACAAATGTTCTACAATGAGAAGCCGAAGTCATCAGTGTTACAAATTAAAACTTGTTCTTAATTTTTCTGTAAAGTGGATTATTGTCATGTTTATGTCTCATAGTTCAGCCATATCACTGTGGCAGGGTATACACTGTCATATTCTGAGAGAAAAATAGGTGGAAATTAAGTACATTCCCTTTGATAGAAACCGAGTATAAGCAGTGCCATGGCAGAGTTAAACTAGAGAAGAAACAACAAAAAGGAAAGGCAGGAACAGAAATAAGGTACCCCAAGAGCATAACACTCTATATTTTATATCTTAGCATATCTTCTATATTTTAGAGAAAGCAGTCCAGGCAATTAATATTTTAATATAAAGAACTCTAGTTTTTCTCCAGTTATTACCCGAGAAACCAGTGGATTTTTCTGAAACACACTTAAAGTTACACACTTAAGTTACTGAAACATAACTTCTTCATTGGTCAGGCAAGTATCTGTAAATTTCAGACACAATATAAGCCGAAGATTGTTTTTTGTTATGATTCATTGTCACTGTATGAACTGTGCTCCTTATAATGAAAATAATTATGGTGAAAAATCATTATGAACTTCTATTAATAGCAAAAAACTATATAGATTAAATAACGTAGCACTTATTTTTACCCAAATGAATGGACGTTTTGAATTAGACAAGCAATAATGACCTCCTTTTACAAAAAGTGTAAACTTTTTTTTTAAATTGTAGAGATTATTCCTATTGTTAATAAGCACCATATACACTTAAACAGCTAACATTTCCAATGATCAGAATTACAATAGTGAGGAAAAAAAATCTTCCTTACCTATGTATACAATTTTTAGATTCAAGATATGCCATACCAGAAGCAGCATCTAATGAAAATTTTACCAATTGTTTGGTTTTTAGCTCATCCTTCTTTTTTCTTAAAAAGGACAGGAAATCACCTCCTAGAAAAACAAAGAGACAGTGAGACACGATAGATAGGATATTCACACTTATCTCTCCTTAGGGGTGTGAGATCACACAAATGCAGCTATTTGCTGTTCCCCTCAACCAATCAGTTTCAGGTTAGCCTAAGAAAAAGGAAGGAACTCACCTTTCAAAGTGCAGTTTCCCTAACTTCCCATAAATACAGGTGCTTAAAAATGAAAACTGCACAGCATGGTTTTTTTATACCCAAAATCTTCACCAGTGTACTTTAAACACAGACTTACATGAAAAATATTGACAAACCAATTGATAATTTATGATAAAGATACTTGTCTAATCACAGAGTAGTTGCTGTAAAAGTTTATAAAAATTGTGAATAAATAGGTTAAGTTCTATTAGTTACATGAGGGTAATTAATTTTTGATTGATCATTTACATTGGTGTTTCTCAAATTCTGCATTGATGTGTTTTGGAGGGGCAACAGAGTGTTTTATTTCTTGGGCAATGTTAACTCCATATTTGACACTGACAACTGAACGCAAACAACTATTACTGTTACTTCAGAGTCTTCTGCTGTGGAAAAAAAACAAACTGTTGTCCTCTTGTCTGGGGAGAGGAAGGGGTCAGCACGAAGGATTTCCAAAATGCAATTTGTGTTTGCAAAAAAAGTTTCTGAAAAACTGATTTAGGAGAAAGACACTCCATCGACATATGTGTTATTCTGGTTACAGCAGACAGTTAACAATAACTTTTAAGCAATTACTCCCTCTAAAACATACATGCTCATGAAAATTATTTTGTTTATATACTGAGAACTCACTGCTCTGCACATCAGAATAATCTTTTAATTAGTAAGTATGATCATATGTCTTTACAAATGTGAATGTCTTCCAGTCTTGACAAATTGCAGCATTACTTGAATGAAAACAGTAAATCAAGGAAGCTTACAGAAAAAAACACAGAAGACCACCCTAAAAAAATCCTACTCTCAATCAACCAATGTTCCAATACTGAAGATTGAGAATTTCTAACTTACTGCAGAAAGAACTGAAATGACAGATAAACTCAGTTTGACATACTGAAAAAAAAGGATTCCTTCTCACACAGCCATACTAAAAATGAAGGAACAAGTCCTAAGTAAGAAACGTCTCTTTATAATGTGTTATAACATTATCAGTGTGAGTCTAAATTCATATTCAATTCATATAAATTCTTTGTACAGATGAGTTACTGCTCTCCACAATCAAAAGTAAAAAAATCAGTTCTCAAATAACAAGTTACTAAAGATAACAAGGTATCAAAATAAAAAAAAAAAATAACCATATACATTAAAAAATTTAGAAATAATACATGATATAAATTTGTTTCTAATATGTTCAGGCAATCAGATTAAGATGCTAATTTTCAACAGTTCATTTCTGAACAGGATTGAAAGCTCTCAGTTCCTTACATCAGAATACGTCAAACTTGCAGAGCACAAGCCTGTAACTTCCCAGTGTAATCAATACCATCAGGAACTTATTTAGAACTTGCTAATTTTCACTGTTTGGAATGTACTGTATGAACTTACAGTGTTTTCAGCAAAACCAGCAGAGCACACCTCAAGCTGTATACAGTGTATTTTACGTCTATCATCAAAACACAGTTTTAATATAATTATCTTAGTCTGTCTCAGTCTCTGTAGTGAAAAAATCAGCAAACTACTATGTTTTTGCTAGCAGTTCTGATCTCTTTTATCTGTCTTTGCACAGAGATGACAAAAATATATTTTAAATACTCTGTTCAATATTGATTTGAATGCACTTAGTTGCAGACAAAACAAAAGAGCAAAGTGATATACATCTAATTCTGTGCAGGATATATAATTTTATGTTAAATCTGATTATCCTCATCCTCGTGATACCAGTGTAGGCTTAAGTGTCTGTCCTTTAACTAAGAGAATTACTCTTACTAGTAAATTCTGAGTTTTACCATCTACTGTGGCCAATGTACCAGCTATTCATCTTCACAGGAAAGCATTCACATGAATACCTTCAAAGTTGAGTTAAGAGGATTTCACTACAAACCCTTCAGCATAGAACTGCTATTATCCTTAAGTGATCTCTTTATGTGCTTCTTAAAACAAGTTTAATATATAAAAAGCCGTAATTCACTATTTGCAGCACTTAGTGTCAGAGCATTATCTCCAGAAAAATAACTGTTGATAAAAATGAAATAAACAGACCAGTTAGACTAGGAAACAACTGAAACAAAACTAGATGCCTACATAAGAGTAAGTAATGCTTTCTCTTATATGTGGAATTTCCACTGTGCTTTACATGACTACCTGTTTTTCCAGTTAATGGCATACAACACTACCAGGAAATGAGGTTTGCTCCAACCACTCTAAGTAATACAGAAATATTTAAACTGTTATAGTATTATTACCAAGCAGAAATAAACTGCCTGTTTTGGGTTTACAGGAGGACAAATAACAGTACTGGAGTGTCTGCCTAATACAATAGAATTATTTTACTAAGTAGATGACAAAATGTAGCACATAAGCAGAAGATCCATGAGAGCAGCTTGCTATAATTGGATTCCTGAAAACAGCCCTTCACGTATTTCACTGTGAATGTGAACTGTTTCTCATTATATGCAGAAATTTTAAGAGACTGAAAATACCACATATCAGCATCTCCTACTGTTGGCTCTACTTATAAGGCATTATTAACCTTATGCTGTATGTTCAGTAGTAGGATTTTATGGCAATGTAACAGTACACTTAATGGTGCACACAAAAGTAAGTTAAAGTATTGCAAGAGGAAAATAATTAGTTGTGATCTATGAGAAGAAATCAAACCACAAGAATCAGCAATGAAATATCTTAAATCAGTTTACAAAATATTTAATTTAATTTATTAAATGGCATTTACAATCAACTATAAGTACACCACTATTGTCCTGAGCTGGTGCCCAAAATGGTACCTATCTGCTTGTTCTAGACACTCATTATTCTGATAAACAGTATTGACACTGAACATAATTAAAATATAATTTTGAAATTACGGTGGGAAATCTCCCACTTATTGATACTTAGATATATAGACATATATTATTTATATAGCTATATAGTATCATACCATTTAAATAATGTTAAAAATAATAATTATACAAATATTAATGTTGTAACAATAGCAATTATTAAGAAATATATGGAATTATATATATTATTTACATATCAGTATTAATAAAGTGGGATAATTTCCTTTATTACACAGCCTTGTTAAGTAGCAGGTTTTTTTAAGAGTATGCTTAGTTCTTACATTTATACACACATTAATCATACAGATGCAGCAAGCTTCTGGGCATACAACATAAAGGTCACCTAACATAGAGGAGCTCCATGATTCAATATTCCTAATTGCTTTATAAGCTATTATAATATTATTAAAATGACCTTTATCTGCACCTGGAAGATTCATATGGTCAGTCTTTTGACTAATGTAAAGAAATTTAGAATTTCTTTACTGCCCAGTATTTTAGTCCCATATATGTTTATCAACAAAACAAACCCAAACACTGCTTCTTACATCTATGAATTTAAAATAGCAAACATTCATCTGTAGCAATTCTAGAAGACAGTTTTTTAAGAAAGTAAGAAGCTATTTGACAAACTCCTGAAAATGTACAGGTTTAGAAATGCTGAAGCCCTCATTTTCCTTAAAATAGTGTGCCTTCACTTCAACTAATGGATCATTTGTGTGCAATGCAGTGCTTTCACTTCTTTCTATTTTACATACGTAATCACAAAAACTGTAAATAAATCGTAAGTTTTTTAACTGCCTACAGAGTACTATTGCAAAATCCAGTTAAAACTTTGTTTTTCCTGATTAGGAAAGCAAAAAAAGTTGCTATATTCATGAAAAGTTTTCCCATAGTAATACTACCAATGGTAATAATGACGTATGAATGGAAATGCATGTATGTGAAAATAAAAGATGAAGAAAAAAACCAAGAGATGCAAGGATGGTGTACATTAAGAGTCAAGGACATGATTAGCAACAACAAACAAGTAAACACAGAGCAGATGTTGCCTGTATGAGGACTGTTGTGCAGATGACTCTAGCAAAATACCTGTAATGAGACCACAATGGAAATGACTCGCTAGCACAAAATAACTACACTATAATAAGATGAAGATGAGAAAGTTACATTATATGTGCTATGTCCTTTTAATGGGATGACAGAATATATATATATATATTTATATATATATATATATTTTTTATATATATATATATATATATATATATATATATATATATATATA